TCGTGGAATGAGGAGTAACGGTAGTTCGAACTAGGAAGCCTAGTTCGAACTACCTAGTTCGTGCCCCGTGTAGCCGTGCTGCACGGGGTTCGAACGAGCGGGGATTTAAAAATGGCGGCGCCCCGCTTATGCAAAGGAAGCCCGCGAAATTCAAATCCCGGGCTTCATTTGCAATTGCGGTATGCCTACATTACCCCGCTAGTTCGAACTAGCGGGGTAGTGTAGACATACCCTCATAGAGGTAGGCAAGCAAGCAGGGAAACCTGAGAACTGGCTGTCCGGGGGGTCCCTTTAAGCACAGACTGCAGCAGCCCCACACAGTAAGTCCTGACCTGGTGCCCTGTGTAACCGGGTGGCCTGCTAGGGAGTCTTAGGGCACCCCAGTACATGGGTCACTGCCCCGACCCTTCCCTGCTCCCGGTTTCTACTTCGCTGTTCCCACGGTCCACTCCCGACGATCCGTCCCTCTCATTCCCGTCGGCCCCACTGGTCGCTTCCTGCTGCCCCCGGTCCGCTGTGCTGCTGATCTGGATCGCTGATCTCTCACTCGCCACCACCACCGCGGTGCTCCCTGTCATCTCCCTCCTTGCTGCGCCAGCCGCCCACGTCGGTCGACTCCCCTCCAGGTCCTCTCCTGGCAGCTTCTCCAGCTGGTGCCTTGGCCGGTCCTGTGGAGGAGGCTGAGAGCAGAATCTCCCCTGCTCTCCCCTAGCCTCCCCCCCCTCCTGCGTCTCCCTCTCTCCTTTTGAACTCCCCGCTGGGCGTTCCTCCAGCCCCCACCCTTCGTGGGGCTGCCCCCGGCCTCCCGGGTCCTAAAACCCGCCTGTTAATCCCTGGGCTGGAGTGTGCCTGCGCGCCAGCCGTGCCGGCTTCCCCCAACTTGGCTGCCTGCCCTGCCACGTGACGCCAGCCTCCCGGCGCCAGCTGACTCTCCACGCAGGGCGTGGAGCTGCGAATCCCACGTCTACAAGTGCGGGGGTGAGTTCCCCCATCACACCCTGCATGAACTGGTTCCAGCCGGCCTTAAACGGATTCAGCATCACGCGCTATTTTGAAATAGCAAAAAGCTATTTTGAAATAACTATTTCGAAATAAGATATTTCGAAATAACGCTGTAGTATAGACATTCCTATTCATCTAGTTAAAGTGATAAACAAGTGGGAATAATCCAGGATCCCATAGATTTGCCAATAATGTTTAAAATGCAAGAACCAAACCATAGACCTGAACAAAGTTATTTTCCCCATAGAACTTTTTCCTTGCACAGGTTGCAGAATGCATCTAGACACCTGGGCTATGTCTACACTCAAAGCTTCTTGTGCAAGTATGGCCGTTCTTTCGCAAGAATCTGTAGAGCATCCATACTGCCTGCCGCTCTTGAGCAAGGAAATTTACAGTACGGCATGGTAAGAAAGGTCTTCTTGTGCAAGAGCTATGCTCTTTTTAAACAGGTGTAAGCCCTCTTGCGCAGGAGCTCTTGCACAAGAGGGCAGTGTGAATGCTTGGCAGGGATTTCTTGTGCAAGAAAGCCCTATGGCTAAAATAGCCATGAGCGCTTTCTTGCGCAAGAGAGTGTCAACACTTGGATACTCTTGCGCAAAAGCACAGCTGGCACGTGGCAGTGTGGACGTTTTCTTGCTTTTCTTGCGCAAGAAGCCTCGAGTGTAGACATAGCCTTGGGCTTCTAATAGCAATTGCTGTCTGTTCCCCCACATAGACGTGTGGATTAATGGATCCATGTAGTGCAAAAGGACAAGCTACTTTCCCACTTCATCTTGACAGCCCTCCCCCTACAGCTATTCTGTACTGCCCCTGAGAGAATCACCATGAAAATATCTTATTGCATGGGGCATGGGGGCGGGACCCAATAGTGCCTGAACAGAGGAATCATGGTGGAACCACCACTTTTAGGATTTGTGTGTTAAAATGCACTAGGACGGGATGAGAAAGGATCAGGATTTGCCTCATAGCAAATATCAGAGGATTTAAGCAACAGATTACAGAGAATTATGTCTTTCCCTTTTCTCCTTTCTCCTTGGTATCCTGGTGTGCATCTGTTTATTTGAGTGACCCTAAAACCAACCCGACAGGCTAGTATAGCCAGTGAAAGAATGTATTTCTTTTTAGTCATTATCCACACTAAGAACTGGGAGCACTGTGCCAGCTATACAGTACTGCCATGTTATCTCTGCAAACATTGGGATGTGATATGTGACAGTGTATATAA